CAGCCCCAGGGCATCCCTGCTCTGTCCTGCAGGCCGCTGTGGGTGCTGTCAGCTCACCAGCAGTGCGGCTCTCTGAGGCGACCCACGCATTTCTCAGGGGGAAAACGTGTCTGAAGAGTCTGACCATGGGAGACAGCTGTAGGAGTGAAGTCTGTCCTGAGAAGGTGGGCCTGGAGGCGACTCCGCTGAGGGCGCAGGAGGGTGTCAGCGGGCATCACCCTCCTCCCCACCCGCTCTGGCAGGCAGGCGTGGCCCTGGAATCACTCTTGTCTGGTGACCTCTGTGGAGCCTGGTTGTTCAGTCTGGCAGCAGGTGGCCCCTGGGGGCCCTGGGGCCTGTCCCGAGCAGCCACCTCGCCTGGCAGGCTGTTGGCCCTGGACAGCGTCGGTCGGCCCGAGGCCTCTGTGTTGCTGACGTCATCTCTGACGGAGCAGCAGCAGCTTGCTCAGGTCTTTGATCTTTGCAGGAGCAGTTGCCCTATCCTTCTCTTACAGCGCGGCTGGCGTGTTCGAACCCCCAGACCTTCCTCACTGAGCGCTTGTCCACAGTGCCAGCAGGGCGCAACCCCCCCACCCCCCATTTCCAGCCACAACTTTTTGGAATGTGTGTTTCTGCTGCAAGTGTTCCAAAGCTAACAGCATTTTCTGCTACGGCGCCACTGCGCACCAACGCATGAGGCTGGCTGGAGGAAGCCATTTGCTTATCCGTTTTGCTACTGGGATCTCTGTGGAAAGAACTTTGCACAAAATGTCCTCCTCTGACAGCCTCGGACTGGTGGACAGGGGTTACTTTCGGGACAGGGATCAGGTGCAGGCCGATCCTCTGGCTCAACTTGGGGAAACAGTGCAGCCCATCCACGCTGCACACAACACCAGTGCGATGTCCCTGCCTTGCAATGACTGCTGCCGGCCTAAGGCCCCCAGGCCAGCCGGGAGGACAGGATGGGGGACAGCAGTGGTCTTCCTCCATCCCTCCCCTGGGGGACAGAGTCAGGGGACTCAGGAAAGAGGAGTGCCCTGTGCCACAAGGGGCTGGGGACCTGGGGACAAGGCCAGGGGTTCCTGACCGGGGTGGTGCCCCCATTTCTTCGGAGGTCCCCAGGGGGCCACCTGCTGCCAGACTGAACAACCAGGCTTCACAGAGGTCACCAGACAAGAGTGATTCCAGGGCCACGCCTGCCTGCCAGAGCGGGTGGGGAGGAGGGTGATGCCCGCTGACACCCTCCTGCGCCCTCAGCGGAGTCGCCTCCAGGCCCACCTTCTCAGGACAGACTTCACTCCTACAGCTGTCTCCCATGGTCAGACTCTTCAGACACGTTTTCCCCCTGAGAAATGCGTGGGTCGCCTCAGAGAGCCGCACTGCTGGTGAGCTGACAGCACCCATAGCAGCCTGC